GACAGAAACATAATGTTTCTCTCTCCACCCCTCTCTCATCCATGCTATTACTGTTGCTCCTTTTTATTCAGCTTTTGGTATTTTAGTTGATGACATTAAAGAATCTACATCTATGTTAAATAATGTAGTATTCCACTTTGTAAAGTGATCTGCGAATCGTGCCGCCCACCTTGTTGCTAGGGAAGCCGTTTCTGTGACAGGTTGCGGGGAATGGATCGATATCCCGCCCCCTTTTCTTGTTGCTTGTTTATATGTTGATGCAATGAATTAAGTTCTTTCCCTAAAAAAAAAATAATAATAAGAAATAACTCTTCACTTGCAGGAAGAGCAAAATGCTTCTCTCTCCACCCATCTCTCCTCCATGTTGGCACTTTTAACCTTAAAAACTGTGAAATATGCACGGATGTAGATGCTCTTAGAGCATTAATATGAGTTGGAGTTTTTTTTCAAGTTTTTTGTAGGTCCCATTATCCACTATCTCACTCAATCACAAAAACTCTTTTACACACTAGTTTGAAATTTTTTCTCAGTTTTTGTGGACACACCATTTTATTATACTATATTTTAATATTTTTTTTATTTATTTTAATTATAATAATGAAAATTAACGAAAATAAACATACCCACATTTAATTAAAATGATACGAAATAATTACAAATATTTAAATTAATTTTCAATGTTTTACTATTTATTTTAATATTTTAAATTTTAATTGTAATAAAATCATTCAAAAGTTAATTCAAAAAAATATATTAAATTTAGTATTTTATAAAAAATTACAACAGAAATAATAAAACAATAAATACCAAACAAATTAAATGTAAAAAAAAAAAAAAAAACATGTAAAGATTGAGTTTCATAGTTCACATTTCAATTTTTCTGTAAAAGTTATCGCAACATCGACCGAAAGAAAACAAATAAAGAAAAAAAAAAACAAAATAAAGATTGAGAGCTGGCGGCCACTCTCAATCGCCCAGGCGGGCGCGTGTGGACAGTGAGACGCAGTTGCTTCTCACTGCCTTTTTTTTTTTTTTTTTTTTTTACATTTTTCTGACATTATCCTCTTCTTTGCAGGCTAATTATTTATCAAATAACTCACACGCACATCAGTTATAAACTTGAGAATGAGATAATACCAAAAATTTGAAGTTATTTACTTGTGTAGATGTTCTTAGTTCCCCTCATTAATCTATTCACATTATTACTTCCTCTACTCTAAAAACGCACAGTTGCAGAAAAAACATATAATAATCTTCTTTAAAAGATACAGAGTAATCTGGGGTGGTGGCGCAGTTGGCTAGCGCGTAGGTCTCATAGCTTCTGAGCTATCCTGAGGTCGAGAGTTCGAGCCTCTCTCACCCCATAAGTTACTGCTATTTTCGCCGTGGACACTGCAAAAGTGCAAAATAAAAGCATGTAAAACGTTTCCGTTGCCGGGAATCGAACCCGGGTCTCTCGGGTGAGAGCCGAGTATCCTAACCAACTAGACTACAACGGATTTCTTTTTTATTTTGTCATCTTATTTATATATAATATACTGTAAACGTAAGATAAAAGTTGAAACTACAGTTTTATCACACAAATGCTGTGATTACAAAACTGCTCCTTCTTATCAGGCCAATAAATCAGTAAATATAGCACCTGAACAAAAATTGTGTGATCATCCGTTCATATAACAGATTACCTGTATATTACACTCTTATATATAATATATACCCCCACACAACCCCAACCAGACAACATGAGAACATGGCAAATTGGGTACAACATTATCCAAACATGTCCCAAATGCTAACAGATTATTTCTTGGATGGATTCACTCCCTTCCATGCCATGGCAGCCTTGTGTGGGATGGGGTGCAGCGCGGGGATTCTTTCGATTGGCTAAAGACATCCTTAAAGTCCACAAAAACTCCTTGGGTTTGGTTGTCAGTAGGAATGTCAACGGGGCGGGGTGGGTGCGGTGGACATACCCTCATCCCCGCCCCCGACTTTCTTCTCATTCCCCGTCTCCGTCCCCATCCCCGCGGGGAAAGGGGAAAATCTCCCCATCCCCTTCTCCACGGGGATTATTCGGGGACGGGGAATCCCCATCCCGCTAGTAAGTTATAAAAAATTAAAATTAAAACATTAAAAACATTTAAATAAATAACGCATATATATTCATCCCCGAACTTAAAGTAGTATTCAATATTTTACAATTAATTAAACATGTTATTTAAATATGCATTTCATAAGCATGACATACAATGACAAAAATTCTTCTAAAACTATATATATTGTATGCAAAGTAATACATATGTGTGTGTTGTGTGACTATATATATATGTATATATATATATATATATATATATATATATATATATATATCGGGGCGGGGTGGGGAGAGTACTCCCATCCCCGATCCCCTATTTCTATCCCCATCACCGTAAGGACGGGTTCCCCGTCGGGTGCGGATGCAATTGACATCCCTAGTTGTCAGCATGGAGGTTATAACCTCAAATGCTTATCTAGGGAGTGTGAAGTCTATGATTCTCACCAACACATTGTTCAGAATGGGAGGAGTGGCAATTTTGCTGTCAAACAAAAGACAGGACAGGAAAAGGGCAAAATATAGCCTCAAACATCTTGTGAGAACACACATGGGAGAGGATGATGATTCATACCACTCAGTCTTCCAGGAAAATGATAAATCAGGGCACTTGGAAGTCTACCTCTCAAGAAACCTCTTCCAAGTAGCAGGAAAGGCCCTGAAAACCAACATATCAGACCTCGCCCCCCGTGTTCTCCCCTTCTCCGAGCTCCTCCCCTATGCATGCTCACTCCTTGCCACGAAACTCCCGGGCAGGACACCACGAAAGGGGGGGACATACACCCCGAATTTCAAGAAATCGTTCGAGCATTTCTGCATACAAGCGGGGGGCAGGGCCGTGATTGATGCAGTGGAGGACATCCTCAGGCTGAGCAAGCAAAGATGCTGAGGCCTCAAGAATGACACTCTACAGATTTGGAAACACTTCATCTTCTTTCATTTGGTATGAGTTGTGCTACCTTGAGGCTAAAGGGAGGGTTAAGAAGGGTGATAGGGTTTGGCAGATTGCATTTGGGAGTAAATTTAAATGCAATAGTGCTGACAGGATTGATAGGTACCCTGTGGAGGTTCCAAGGATTTTGGATCATTAAGCATTTAAGCCTCAACCTTTAACTTATCCCTCTCACAATTTCATGTGCAATGATGCAAATAATAAATTAAACACCACAAACCATAACTCATGGTTAGTACCATACTAAGGTTTAATAAAATCACAAACTTACGATACAATGTTCATAATGGGTTTTGCCTATGATAATTGTACTACTTTAGCTATTGATTAGCTGCTGTCTTGGAGAGAGATGTTTCTCTCAGAAGAGAATATGGCAATGACCACAGCTGAAGGGGCATCTAAAGGCAAAGGAAAAGATATTCCCATGGGAATGGTGAAGAAGAAGGATATCAATTCCAAAAGAAAGTCTGGTCGATGGTGGGATCTTTTCCTTGTCTATCTAAAACCATCACCCAAGACGAAAACCTCCCAAACATTGCCATCACAAGTTGAAGTTTCCACAACAAAACATCAAGGACCACGCCACTTTTCTGTCAATGAAATCCTAAAGGCCACTCACAATTTCAACCAGAGTTCTATTATTGGTTCTGATGTGCTCCTGGGATCTTTACATGGTGGCAAAAGTATTGTAGTCATCAGAAGGATGCTAAATATGCTCTGGTGTATCAACTGCTAAATGTGCTCAAGAATGTTACATTACCTTACCTACAAGATAATGTTTTTTGCCCTTGTTTGGTTTCTAGGAAGTTAATGTGAGATTCTTGGGGATGTGGTAACATGAGCAAAATACGCTATTAATGTTGTGATGTTTTCAAATGCCATGAGTTAACAAAATATATTTTGCAGGGTAATATTGCCAATCTTATTAGCACTATTCAAGCAAACAAAGTAGTCGAGGATGGCTCACAAGCAATGCAAGGATTAATGATTCGCTGAGATTTTTTTGCTATGTAGTACAATTTTCCCATTAAACTTGATAGAATTGAGATACTACTGCCTTCCCATATACTGCAATCCCTGGTTCTAGTCAGACAATATGAGTAATTTGAATGCTCATGCAAGAGTTTTGCCTTTGTTTCTCTCAGTTTCTCAGAAAGTTTTAACAAGATTGTACCTCACTCTTCCAACTCTGCAATTTCATTACTTTTTATGTCAAATGACAATTGGTTTATACGAGTGGTGGTGCTTTTTTCTTCAGATGTGAACATGTTCTCAACCTTAAGTGAAAAATGATTAATGTAAGCTTCCTACTAACTTCTGAAGACATTAAAGAACATTGACTTTGCAGATAAAGATGTCCCACTAATTAAAGTTAAGATCAAATGTATTCCACAAAAATTAAGAAAAAAAACAGGTGTAAAATTATTTAGTACAAAGACTTGGCAAATAAATGTTCAACGGACCACACAAATAGAGGTGATCTATGCATAGTCATACCAGGTCCACGCATGTTGAAGATAGTTATAAAATTGATAGAACCTAAAATGGATGAAACACCAGATAGATGAAGACTAGAAATTGCTGAATCAACTGCTCCACCAGAATGGCTGGTAATACCACTTAAGGGCGGATAGACCGTCCACCCAGTTCCGCTACCCACTTCTACTAAGGCTGGGCTTAATAGGAGCAAGAGACTTGGAGGCAACAACCAGAATGAAATATTATTTAATCGTGGAAATGCCATGTCAGGCGCACCTATCAGAATCGGAACAGACCAATTACCAGATCCACCTATCATCGCCGGCAAAGGCCATCCTATCCAACTTTCAGGCATTAAGATACGTTTCAAGCGCGGATGATTATCATAAGAAATTCCCAACATATCATAAGACTCTCGTTCTTGAAAATCCGCACTTTTCCAAATCCAGAAAACAGAGGGAATTCTAGAATTCTTCCTTGAGGCAAATACTTTTATGCAGACCTCTTCCGGTTGGTATGCACCATATTCTATTCTCGTAACACCATACTCTATTCTCGTAAGATGATACACACTAGCTAACAGTCCGCCAGGTGCTACATCATAGGCACATTGAGAGCGTAGATAATTGTAACCATATACATATAAAATGACAGCGAGTCAACGTAAATTGGCAAAGAACAGCAGGCCGACGAAATAGACATTACTGTTATCATGTCGGCAAGGTGAATAATAATCTTCATTCATTTCCATGGTAATACGGTATCGGTATACTTCAGTCCTGACCAATAAAATATATCACAAGAACTAAATTGACATTATTATTAAAAGAAGAAGAAAAAAAGAAACTAAAGGGAACCTTCTTTCTAATAGTCTTCTAGAAGATGATATTTGCACAGAAAATATCACAAGCCAACTAAACGGACAAGTCCAAGTCTTGCAGTGCTAGGAAGTTTACCTGGGGATCACAATTTCTCTACCAAGTCTCATTTTTTATGCTCAGAACTTGAATCAGTTGCAAAGCATAAACAGATACCTCAACAGCAACAATATGCATCATCCTCTGTTTTTTATTCTTATATCCTATATGTTATTCCATGGTCTGATCATCTTTGCCATTTCTTCTACCATTAATTCACCTATTGAGAACATAGCCATTTCATGTGGCTCTTCTGGCACTCCAACTGCCCTTGATGGGCGTGAGTGGGTTGGGGATAATACTTTGTCTTCTACTTCACCACTGCACATAAGTGGAAAATCCTGGACATCTAAAGCCCAGCATAAAGCCTCTCTCATGATTGATCCACTTCCATATCAGACAGCTCGGACCTCTCGCCATGAGTTCAGCTACCGGTTCTCAGTCCAGCCGGGCCAGAAATTCATCCGCTTGCACTTCAACCCAGCGCCATACAATGGCTTCAAGAAGTCCATAGCCCTTTTTACTGTCAAAGCTGGTCCATACACTCTCCTCAGCAATTTCAGCCCCTCCCTCACTGCTGATGCTCTAGGTGTCAAATTTCTCAAGAAGGAATACTGTGTTAATGTACAGGAAAGTGAGGTGTTGACTATAACATTCACCCCATCTCAAGAAAGAAAGTTTTCAGGAAATGTTTATGCTTTCGTCAATGGCATTGAGATCATCTCCATGCCTACTGGTCTTTACTTCACCCCAGAGGGAGACCTGGGTGCCCATGTTGTAGGCCAAAAGCACAGATTCTACATTGATACAGCTACAGCACTGCAGATGATTCAGAGATTAAACATCGGGGGATGGTCAATCCCATCCATTGAAGATGTCAGCATGTTTCGTGACTGGAAAGATGACTACAACTACGTGTTAAATGGAGTTGGTGCTGCATCAACTTATACAACCATGACAATAGAGTATGCAGACATGCTGACACATGTTGCACCTCCCAAAGTGTACCAAACAGCAAGGTCAGTGCATCCAGGCAAGCAGCAGCTCATTGCTCACAATCTCACATGGATAATTCCAGTAAATTTAGGATTCAGGTACCTAGTCAGGCTCCATTTCTGTGAATTTGAACCTGAAATATCAGCAAGAGGTGAAAGGCAATTCAGCATACTTATAAATAATCAGATAGCTGAGTATAATGCTGATGTGATCAAATGGAGCGGTGCATGTGGGGTTGCAGTGTACAAAGACTACATTGCAATGATGGAAGGAGATAGAATGAAAGGTACAGGCACTCTAGTCATAAGTTTGCAGCCCAACTCTGACTTCAGCCCTAAAAGAACTGACGGCATTCTGAATGGCTTAGAAATATTCAAGCTAAGTAATCCTGACAACTATCTTGTGGGAATGAATCCTGCCCCCCAACGCAAAAAAAGTTCAGTGTCAGAGATGCCGAGTCGCCAAAGGCCAGTGTTTTTTGATAGAAAGAGTGCAATTGTTACTGCATTCACAGTAGCAGTCACTTTACTGAATATTGCCATCTATTACCTAAGGTGTCTCTCAGAAGCTAACTCCAACATGAGAAACACAAGATCTCGTTCCACAGACCCAGCTTGTCGTCAATTCTCACTTGAGGAGATCCAACTATCCACCAACAATTTTAGTCCTAAGTTCCTCATTGGAAGTGGTGGATATGGTAAAGTATACAAGGGCATTATTGATGGCGGAGCAACTACTGTAGCAATTAAGCGTTTGAAGGAAGAATCTAGGCAGGGAGAGAATGAGTTTTGGACAGAGATCAAAATGCTATCAAAGGTCCGAAATGAACACCTTGTCTCCCTAATTGGCTTTTGCAATGAAGGTACGGAGATGGTGTTGGTTTATGAGTACATGCCACGAGGAACTGTTGCAGACCATCTCCACAAAATTGATAGAATGGGGAACGGTAACCCCCCTCTCTCTTGGGAAAGACGACTCAAGATTTCAATAGGTGCTGCCCGGGGATTACATTTCCTTCACACCTCCCAGCATAAGGTTATACACCGTGACGTAAAAAGCTCAAACATTCTGCTGGATGAGAGTTGGGTGGCAAAGATTTCAGATTTTGGTTTGTCCAAAATGGGGCCTGGAAATGAGTCCTTCACTCATGTTAGTACTGATGTCAAAGGAACATTTGGCTACTTGGATCCTGAATACTTTTTAACTCACAGATTGACAACAAAATCTGACGTTTATGCTTTTGGAGTAGTGCTGCTTGAAGTGGTCACCGGGAGGCCAGCATTGGATAAGAGGCTTGTTGAGGAGCAGCACAGTCTAGCTACATGGGCCATAGACTACATGAGAAAAGGAAAAGTAAATGATATTGTAGACAGCAGTCTGGCAGGGCAAGTCTCCCGAACTTGTTTGAAGGTGTTTGCAGAAATTGCAGGAAGATGCTTGCGCAAACAGCCACATGAACGACCAGATATGGCTGATGTGCTCACCAACCTTGAATTAGTGTTGGCATTACTACAAAAGGAGGGGGTAGAAGATGAGGTCATGAGTATTGGGAGTGTTCACAGTGATGGTGTCATCTCGTTTGATGAGCACTGTGGAGATATCTTAGGAGAGAATATGGAAAATCCCACCACTGAAGCAACATCTTATGAAGGAAAAGGCAAATATATTTCCATTGGAAAGGTGAAGGACAGCATTTTCAAACCAAATGCATCAACTCGATGGTGGGATTTTTCGTGGTTACTGCCAAAACAATCACCAAAGAGAAAAACTTCACCAACACAACCAAGAATCCCAAAACAGTCATCGAAGAAAAAAGTTTCCTCTATGCAGTTGCAAGGAGGACTCCATCGCTTCTCTACCCATGAAATCCTACAGGCAACTGACAATTTCAACCAGAGTTTTATTATTGGTTTTGGGGAAGCTGATGAGGTGTACAACGGATTTCTAAATGGTCGTGAAAATATTGTAGCCATCAGAAGGGCCAGCACTGCTTATTCAAAACGTTGCATGTCTCATGAGTTGCAATCAAAACTAGATAACCTCCCTTTGCCCAACCATGCTAATGTTGTCTCTCTAATTGGATATTGCAATCTTTATGCAGAAATGATTCTTGTATACAGTTACATGGCAAATGGGAGTCTGCAAGATCATCTCCATGACCCTGACAAGGCTCCCCTCCCATGGATGCAGAGGCTTAAAATCTGCATTGGTGCTGGACACGGTTTGTGCTACCTTCAGCCTATCTTGAAGCAGAGTATTCTCCATCGTGAATTCAACTCAACCAACATTCTACTGGATGAAATTTGGGTTGCTAAAGTTTCAGACTTTGGTTGGTCTAAAAATAAAGGCAACAATCGTGTTCCTAGAGCAGTCGTGGGTCCTTGGGGATCTTTGGATTCAGACTATGTACGCGATACAACATCAACAGAAAAATCTTATGCATATGCATTTGGTTTACTTTTAATCGAAGTATTATGTGCCAACAATGAATTGATACTCTGGGACCAGGATAGGGAGAGTATAGCCAGCTTGTTCAAGTCATGTATAGAAGGTGGCCTTTCAAGATGTATAGACCCATACCTCGTTGGGAAAATATCACCAGACTGCCTTCGGATGTTTGTTGATACTGCAAGCAGCTGTCTGCAAGACCAAGGTAGTAAAAGACCATCACTGAGTGAGATCGTGAAAAGTCTGAAGGCTGCACTTGAGCTGCAAGAAGCAGCAGATGGTAATAACAAAGGGGTTTTAGGCTCTCCGAAGTAGACCTGAAAAGGTAAATAAAACCCTTGTCATTGTACTGAAATTGCTCTAGTACATCAATGCCATATGATATCAGAATCCAAGAGTGAAATGGAAATGAATCATTCAGAAACAAAACTTCCTTTTGTTCCATCTAGCCTGCAAATTGTAGCTGAACATGCTTGTTGGGTTCCTTACATTCTATACTAGTCATGCTAGCTTTCACAAAAGCAAGTTCACACTCTCTTTCCTCTTAATCCTCTGCTTCCTATAATCCTATGATTTTTTGTCTTTTGGCATTTTAAATCCCAAACATTTGTAGTCAATAACTGGAATGTTACCACTTACCATGAACATAAACTCCAATTGCTTGCACAATTTGTGTCTGCAGAACAAATACACAGCCGCTTAGCGTAAACTACTTGAAATAAACATAAGCTAAGCAAATCAAATGGGGATCGAAGAACCTCGCAAGTGCTCGCTATGTGTACCTGTCAACAGTAAAAACCTCGTGACAGATCCGACGCATCGAGTGCATCGTTTTCGTCCAGAAAATGGTCGCCCTAGGAGGTCCTTCAAGTTAGGGCTGAACGATACAGACGGCGCTCATGTTCATCGGTCAGCCATACACTTCATACTTGCGGCATTATCCTTGTAAAATATTTAAACAAATCCTTGATTGAAGAGAAAACATGAAGAACAAAAAAAAAAAAAAAATGAGAAGAGAAGCATATTATAGGCTTAAGTACCAGACTGCCAGGAATCTCGTTCCCCTGATAATAATAATAGTAATAAGGACAAATATGGAGATAGCTGAATGTGTAATCGCCGCTAACCTCCGCATCATTAATGCTTCTTCTTTCGCCGCCGATTACATGGAAGTGGACAGCGGCGAAGAATCCGACGGGCTTAAGCTATCCTCATCCCTAAAATTTTACTTACATGACATAAGTCATATCATTATTGCTAAATATCTGAGTTTTTTGCACTTTTAGTCCCACGATTATAGTGGCACTGGCAGAATTGATCCACGACTTTTGAACCTTGTAATTTTAGTCCACGACTATTGATCTTTTTGCAAAAATGGTCCTTCCGGCCACTTTTCCGTCAAAATTTCACCGGAAAAAAAAATTCTCTATTTTTAGCTGGGTTAAATGCGGCGGCGGAGTACATGTACCAGTCCAAAGCTGTTGCCGGATAACCCAACTAGCCCGGGGAACGCCACGGCCGCTCCGCCGCTTACTGACAACCCTGCCTGCTCCAGGAACTCCGCCGTCTGGGACAGTAGTATGTAGCCCAGTAATATTGTATGTAGTCAAATATCAATTTTTTTCTTTTAATTTGTTGAGATAAGTAAAATGTCAATTTTAACCCGGCTAA